GTCCTCCCATAGTTTTGAGCATATCACAAAACAATTGCATTGCGCTTTTCCTTATTTTTACCTCTAACTAAACTTTTCACATCCTCACTGTGTTTTTTTAATTTAATTGCTGCATTTTAAGTGTATTTATTTATTTATTTATTTATTTGTTTATTTATTTATTTATTTATTGGTCATTTTATTTCTAATTTTGTCAGATTTGGTCCTCCCATAGTTTTGAGCATATCACAAAACAATTGCATTGCGCTTTTCCTTATTTTTACCTCTAACTAAACTTTTCACATCCTCACTGTGTTTCTCTGAGTAACAGAGAGGTTTTGGAAGTACTTCATGCTGCGTTCTGCTGCTTTACGTCACCGTGCAAAGACTTGAAAAAACATAAAGTCTATCTAAACACTCAGGTGCAAAGCTGCATAACTGAGGGTGGGATTGTGGGGTCACTGACAATGTAAATATTGCAGCGCCCTGCAAACACAGCGTGTTTGACAATCATTCAACAGGGTGCATAGTACACAGTTATTGATATCAGTTTGTTTGACGTGTGGTCAATGTTTAGTAYGTGCGCTCAAATTTCCATGAACTGAAAATACTACAGGTGCACAGCAAATCCAGCATGCACAAATTAACACTGTCAGATTTGATTTCAACACTTTTATAGTGTCTACATGGGTCCACACCAGACAGTGGGAATTTATTAATTAAGTGATTAATTATTAATTAAGTGTCAAAAATCAACTCTGTCTGGAGTTAATAATTTAACATTTACTAACACTAACTAGGCGTTAAAGTTGAAATATTAACTATCCCAGATTAGTTTTTTTAACTACATAAGAGTTGAAATATTAACTATCCCAGAGTACTTTTTAACTACACATAAGAGTTATTTTTAATAAACTAAAAAAGGTGTATGTTATTGTTTTACATTTTTAGAAATACCTTGGACAATCAATATTTAATAAAGAGGCAAGGATTTTCTGAAATGCATTTRTTTCAAAACTTGCACCACAATTGGAAAACAGTTTCTAAAACATGTAACAAKGTGGAACACGCTCTCTCACTTTGCTTATCAAAGGGTCTGACATATTTAAGATGGTCAATGCAAATAACACTGTGTGTTTTTTCTTCAATACAATATGCATGAAAGTGTTCATCAAAGTACAAGGTGTTGACAGTACAGCCTAGTTGTTCATGTATTCGCTGAACATTCAAGTATTAAAACAGGCCAACCTGGTATTCAGTGCCATAATTTCCCACCCATTTTGAAACATTTCAGCATAAATCTACATTTAATGACTCACACAATACATGTCCACCTTCCAAGCTATCAASTCTTCTTAATTTTAAAAGACCAAACTCAAACCTTTTGACCAGTTTTGCTTCATCAAGATCAAGCTCTTCTAGGCCCTACTTCCTGTTCTTTGTACTTTTGAGAATAATAGTTGAACTGGAGACAACGGATGGTCTGACAATGAAATTGATGTTGGGGGGACGAGAGGCTGTACTGATGACTGTGATTCATCTTCAACAACACTGATCTCAATATCTAGAAAAAAAGGACATAAAGTGATTAAAAATTAATTTGTGCAAAATGCATATGAAAAGTCACAACAACTGAAATAATGCCCAAAAACACATCTGGTAACATTGAGRAATGTGTATTCAACAAGAAAAACAATTTTACAGTTTTTCAATTGTTAAATATGGCCAATATTAATGTAAACTTTMAGAATTATAAAGAAATGTACACCAAGTTATAACAGATCTGTTGTACCTGTGGTTGTCTGCTTTCTATATCCAACTTTGAAAGCTTGAACCCCAGAATTTACCAGCTCATCAAAAATGTCTGAATCAACTTCAGTGTCAGTCAGGACAAGTACACCGTCTGTGAAGAGTTGAGGCTGAAAGCTGGATTTGTCCACAACTGAAAGAAAGACATTTTAAGTATTAWTAATTATCAAAACCATTTCAAGACTGTCACTCATAGGTGGAAATTTTATAACAATTTAAATCACATAAATACTAACCCTCTTGAAGAAATTGGAGGAAATGAAAGGATTCATCACTTTGTGGAACTTTAATGTTCATCTGCTCTCCCGCATATTCCACCTTTGCAAGCATTTCCTGTGTGGAGATTAAATAAAAAAATTGTTTTGCACTAATTAGGTGCACAAATAATCTGTTCATCAATTTCATAAAGTTCTGAAGGAATCTAACGTGGGAACCGATAGCTTCACCAGCCGATCACACGGTCACGTGGTTTCTGCGGACTCCAGCTGTTCTATAGAACCTCCTTGGCTAATACCAAATCATTTTAACACTTCAAAATTTGCTGTGTGCTTTGCAAGCGATGCATCATGTGTCACAGAAAATCCWCACATATGTGAAACAATAAATAAAGTATTCTACAGGCAAGCTTCAGTGTTGTTCTACTAAGTAGAACTGCATTGAGCTTCTCGTAGCATTTACCAGAATAAAGTTGATCTACTTGGCTTTGGTGAATTATATGTTTTATTGCAAAGCAAGTTCATTTGGCTTCCCATCAACTTTTTTCTTACAAAAATAAACAACCAAAACCAATACAAAGTTGATAATATACAATTGTAGTCTAAGTTAACCTTAATTACACAGAAAGATTCTGTCTTTTTATAGGTTACAGGTGTACAGATGGACAGGAAAGTCTTGTTTTATTGCAAYACCTCATCAGAAAAAAGGATAATAAAATCATTGTTTTTCTGCAAATAAATACTTAACACAGATTTTAATCTCTCAAACTGTTTTAACTTTATATAATCCACTATATTCACACTTAAAGGTGAAGTTGGAACCACTCAGACGCTCAGATCTAAATCAGTGCATGGTCTGTGCGGCTTTACACATTCTCTCTGAGCGCTTTATTCTTAACAAATGTTTATCTTCATCCTCCTCACCTCTCGACTCAAACCACAATGGACTCTATGACCTGGATCAGGGAGGTGCGTAGGCCGGGATACACAACAATATTTAGAGAAAATAGGAGCCGGTGTACAATCAGAGAAATGTTTTAGTGGAGCTTGTTGATAGAAAGGGCCACAATTCTTCTTTCAAAGCATCAATCCTGCTCATTTTCAGTAGATTTCAAGTTATACTTAACTTGYATGAGTAGGCAAAAGAGGGGAGGAGTGCAGCCTAACTTGGGTGGCATGAGAAGGTAAACTGTTGTTTATCCTTTTGCAGGAAAGGGATTACAATGCAGTAATACAGCCTCTGATGGCTGCACAGCTTTACATACAAAGCTTTCTCTTTCTGCACTCGTCTCGCTCTCCTAAAAGTCAGACGGATTTATCCACCTGTGGTCTTTTCAGACGCCTGAGTAAATAGCAGCACGTGTTTGGATAAAGATACACTGAGACATCTTTTGTACGGAGAGATGCGTCCTAAAAAAGGGCTGCTTATTTTGGGGATATAATTTGTCACAGCAGGAGGCCAAAACAACAGACGTCTGCTAAGTCACGTTAAGAGCTTCTAACTAATCTTCTAATTAACTTGCTAGACTTGTTTTTATATCTTAGCCGCAGGACTTCCTGGATGAAGGCATGGAACATGGCTTCCTGTTGATCTGATTGATTTGTTATGTTGCCCGTCTGCTCGAGCACAAGTAATGGGAAGGTTTTAGTTTAATTTTTTTATTTTTGGCCACTACCAGCTGAGCAGACTGAACCATGATTWCTACAGATGAAATATGGCTATAGTCAGTAAAAGCATGATGTAATGTTCCCCAGCGCTGTGCACTCCCCATCTAATTATAAGGCAGGGGTTTGATTCAAGCCTCAGTGATGAAGTTAGCCCCTCCCACTGGGTCAAACAAACAAATAGGATGATGTTTGCCGTAATAAGCAAGTCAGATCAAACGGCAATGAGTCAGAAGAGCRCTGGTCTCTTATGCCATAGGTTCTCAAACTGGGGTCCCTGGACCCCCATGGGTCCACGAGAGGTATCTGGGGGTCCTCAAATATTTTTACTAAAATGTTAATTTGGTTTTTATTTTTAAAGATGCATGGAGAAAAATGAACTAATAAAACAAACATTATAAATTAAATTAAATATATATTCCCATGGCATTTAGGGGTTGAAATGACAATAAATTATCTTTTTAAAAAGCATGGGGTTTATGAGAGGGTCCTGGAATTTTTTTCGCCCTTATAAGKGGTCCCCAGACCCAAATGGCTTGAGAACCCCTGTCTTATGTGACCCCAGCAGCTTTATGTTCAGGTTTGCATTGAAGCTGATGCTTTAGGACAAAACTACARGAGATACTTTGTTTATCGCAGTTTTAATTAACCGGATATTTTCATTCTTCAAATGCATGAACTTCTTTTGTAATGTGTTGTTCATCTTTACATTCCCCTCACGTTAGCTTGAACTCTGCATTTGGCTCCAACTACCTGTAAAACTCTAAATTATAGTTGCCTGTTGTTTTTGTATTAATTTTCTAATAGAAACTAGAATCACACGTGCAACGCTAAACACCTACATTTACGTTTTATGCCACTATATCAAAAATCCGTTACACATAGCATCGAGTTGTTGGTGCAAAAGACGCATGAAATGACCAGGAACTGGTTTAAAACAGGACACCACTGTGGCTCATCCCAGAGTTACCAGTGTGAGACTCTTTTTAAACCCTAAACCCCACTTTTCCTCTCGCTTTGTGAGGAGCTGGTGTGACAAAGTGACATCTCACTCGGCTAACCRCTCAGCAGGGGTACTGATTATAGTTTGCACAAACGGTGCGTGCCTCCTYCGAGGTCAGACACATGAAGAGTTCTAAAAACTGATTCCGTTTTATTTTTGAGATGTTGTGGCTGAGAGTTTTTTTAAGAAAATACAGAGTATCATTAAGTGATGCGTGTAACGCATGTGGCATACCAAGCAYGTGTTGTTTCTTTAGAGACAAAAGTTCGCTGAGTCACATTTTTGTCTGCAGCGARGGAATTCCCAAAGGCCTGAGCTCTTTGTCAAAGCTGATATCATAAACACAGGATCAATATGAGTAAATCAAAATGATGGTTAAACACAGCTGATAACACAAGAGAGCTTTTCTTACCCATTAAATGTGGCCAAACCACCCTGAAAAACTATGTCTCATAAAAATATGAAGCCAAAAGAATTGTCTAGGCTCAGAAAAGGACCAAAACATGGTACTCACGCCTCAGTGGAATACATGTGGAGTCTTATTTGTAGGAATTTCTATTACTTTTAATGTTGCACTTTCTTAAACCAAGGCTTGCCTCTTTGTTTCTCCAGATCCTGGTGTTGTGCATCATCCAGTTGGAAAGAATAAGAGGCTGTCGCTCCTCTGTGTTCCTCTTCTTGTTCTGGGTCTTGTCTGTCGTCTGTTCGCTGGTGCCTCTTAGAGCGAAGATCCAGCTCGCCATAGATGAGGTATGTGTTGGGCCTAAAAWCTGAAACCAAAAATCACATGGTCTAAAGCAGGGGTCTACAGCCTTTATGATCAACTGAGCCATTTCTGCTACTTGGCTCACTGATAAAATGTGTCCAGAGCCGCAAAACAAGCTACAACTGTGATTATCAACTGGTGGTCTGTGGGCTTTGTAGGGGCCTTTTCAATATRGCCAGTGGAGGTGACATTGTAAAACTGAAAAATATGTTGTGAATTTTATTATTTATTATTATTTTTACGTATCAGGACAAATGAAAAGACCAGATTTGTGTAAACAAGAAAAATACCGTATTAGTTTACAACAAATTTTAAAAACAAGTACAACTGAAATATTCAGGCATATTTTTTTTCTAATTCTTCTTATCAGGCAGTCTTTAAATTCTTTAAAGGTAATTCTGATGGATTTGAGAGAAAAAAGTTGGATTATTTAAGTAAACAGGCTAGCATGAGCTAACATGTTTTACTTTTTGTAGTATTAGTATTGATCACATATTTGCAAAAAAATTGATTTCTGTTGTGCGTATCAAAACCAAACAAAACAAATTCTGTTATGTTTGGTTACATTTTCAAAGAGTCACTGCAGAGGGATCAAAGGGCCACATGTGGCCCCAGAACCACAGGTTGCAGACCCCTGGTTAAAGCAAATATTACTGCTGCTGCACTAAACGTTTTTAGAGTTTTTATAAGTGCTTAACTGGGCTGTGATAAATTAAATTGAATGTAAACTGGTTCTAAACAAATAAATGGCACTGCACTTGATGATACGTCGCACAAACAAACAGGGACCCAAAGTGAATCTGTTTGTGTGTTTGGTTTGAACTGAGAACCACCAATGTCAAAACAGTGTGCAGAAATATCTGATCAGGTCTATTCCTATCCAAAGTCTAGACACAAGACTCCAGCAGCACAGCTTGAGCTGTACCCGGTGTCGGCAGAGACATTTTATTTCACCCCCACCAGATTTAACCAAGGTGACCTAAAGTTAACACAAAGTGCTGGAGGATGACACTGCCAATTCTGGTCAAGCCTGTGTGTTTAAGGGCTCCTTTTTCTTCCTGTGTCTGCCGTCAGACATTGCAATCATTGTTCTCCGGCTAGGTTAGCGCACACAGCCATGGGGCAGTTGCATTTGCATTTCTAAAAAAATAAAAATAATAACAACAACACACACTCACATCCATATTTCTGTTTTATGGTTCTCACTGTGACATTCCCACACTGCCTGGGGGAAGAGTAATGATGGCCCTGCGATAAATGCTGGTGAGGCATGGCAGTCCAGGGTCAGACCAGAGAAACGTCAGCGCTGTGTTTATGAGCCTGCGCTGCCGTAAACACAGCTAAATGAAAATCTATATATCCACATGTGTTGCAACACCATTCACAGCTCAGATGTTTGCATTTCATAAAACTAGCTCCCATGTTATTAACTTTCAGATTGTATTTCTAGGTCAGACCGATTTTTACAACCATTTGCTTTACTACAAGAGTTCTCAGTTACTCATTAAATGGGCTGGGCTTTTAAAGAAGGGATAACTTGCATTCTTGCCATGTGTGCAGTCAATATTAGATTGTAGATAATGCTAAGAGCTACAACAATTTCACTAAATGGCGCAAATTAAACAAAGAAGATAAYTGACTTCGAATCAAGAGCGACCTTTGGGACTGGTTGATTGAAGTGATACAGTTATTTTAGCCAGTAGTAAACAAATACTACTGTAATATTTGTGAGTTTGTATGAAGCAACATCGACTGAGATCAGCTTACACAACAGCTGTCCCAATTTTTATACAAATATAAGCAAAGGTGTACAAACAGTTGTGGTTAATTCTGGTTCAAATTACGCCATGAGGGCCCCCTGYGCTCAATAATTAACTGGTCCAATTCAAATCCTGTAACAAACAGCTCAATTAATACCAAAAAGTCCATTTCAGTTTGTTGTAAAAACATATAGTCAGGCAGTAATTATAAAATAGCAGTTTGTAAAAACCTACCCAGCTTAAAAAAAAAACAATAAAAATGACGAACAGCTCAACAGTTAGCTTGTTTTATCACATTTTTCCAGCTTTTATAAAGAAAGTGACTCATCCACATGTCAGCATCAACAGGTCAAGTTGACAGAGTTCGTGTTATCCACTCTTAGCCATTTGACCTACGGTACATTTTTCTCACCCACTCTCTGACCATCCTGACTGTTTGTCACAGTGTGGCCAGGTCGATTTGGCCCCTTGGTATCTGCATTCTGGGCACGGCAGCACACTTTTCAGAGAAAAGAAAAACAGCGTTTTACTGTTAAACCATGGCTGCCACTTTGATGCATGCACACACTGCTGCACAACAGGCTGGCTGTGGCGGCAGTGACAAACCAGTGGTAAACAGCGAACGCTGCCAGAACCCACAGTTTCTGTATGTCAAGAATAACTTGCAGGTCCCGGTTTTATGCAAACGTCTTGGAGTGGTTAATATTGCAGCTGCTCCCTTTATTGAAAGCAAGGATGTTGGTTTTTAAAAACCACAATCTCCCTATTTACAGATCTTTTTGTACGATTGAGAGGCAGTTTTAACTGTTGTATACTTTACATTAAGTACAACAATAAAMCCAGAGGAAGAGCCATGTAAGGGGGCGGTATACATGTAAAACTGCACACAAAGCCACATTACAATGAAATAATAGTTTACAACAGGATGTATGGGGTAAGATAACTTTCATAAAGATGTTGTTTGATTTATGCTTTAAAAATGTGAAACACCCAAATCACGTTTTGATGTTTTTAAAAACTTTTTGTCTTCGAGTAAACTCAAAAAATCACTCCATGTAAATGTTTGCTCATTATATTTGTTTTAGTTGTACACGTTTGTTGACCTGCATTGAGTTTAACAAGCCTAAAATCAGGTAATAATGTGTTTTTAGTCAGTGTAGCACAAGTTGTTCTTATAAATAAACTGTATTATCCAGGGGGTTATACACTCAGCCACAAAAAGAATCAATCTTTTCTCGAAATGTTTGAAACAAGAGTTTATTTTTTAAGTAAACTTGTAATCTGTGTTTTATTTGACAGGGCATCATGTCTGATATCGTTCGATACCTCGCCTTCTTCTCATATTTCTCCATCCAGCTGGCCCAGCTCTTCCTGTGCTGCTTCGCTGACCAGTCTCCGCTGGGAAAACCCATCTTGGAAAAGGTAAGCAGGAATGAATGTTTCCCACTTMCGTCGCAAACGTCTATGATTCAGCTCACAGGAAACAAAACAAACAAGAAAAAAYGGGCCAAAGAGACAATTTTGTGGGTTTTGATTTCTGTTGTCAAAATTCTTTTGCCTTTTGGAGGAAATGATGTGATTCACCTTTGCCTTCATTCCTCTTATGCCTAACAACTCTGGCTTTCTATGCCAGGAGTGTGAAAGAGTGTGCGTGAGTCCCTGCATACCTTTACAACTCACTCACACTGTGAGATAGCGTTGSATCTCCTGTGTAGAGTCTTTAACTACACAACAGGAAAACCATTTATACAAATCTCACTCTATCAAACACGAGCTTGGCAAAAAAACTTTTTTTCAGGATGATGCTGGGCAGCTGACAGGTGAATGAAAATGAGCTCCTCATCAATCAAAATGACGMGTGATGTAATATATCCCCGGTGATAAACCGTGGAAGGAGGTGGGAAAAGTCCCTAACAGAGTCTTGGCTGGCGATGAGGAGGCCTGAGGGTGCAGAAGCCACAGTCTGGCAYGGTGGACACACCCAGTGGTGTGTCCTCTCCATTTTCCTCCACCTCCTCCTCCTCCTCTTTTCCCAGCGCTCTGGTTGAAGTTACGCATGAAAGGAAAGGAACTGAAGGGACGAAAAGCAAAAGTGTCCCRCTGGGYGAGGGGGTGGAAGGGTGGAGAAGAGGTTTGCGTTAAAGCAGATCTGTGTGTGGGTTTGTCAGTCCGGTTTCAGAAGTTGGCCAGTTTGTGATGATGACACATTTCCTCTCTGTCTGCGCTTGACCACCAAACGTCATCTTTGCCCCTGCACTCGACCCCTTTCATTCTTTTCTGTGGGACTTCACATCCTCTGGTGTCCGCAGCGGACCACCTGAGCGTACCAGTTTGTTTACAGACATTTATGTTGCGAAACACRCCCCTCACATGCACGACCATGCAACCATCAGCTAGTGGCCTCGGTGAGGCTGTGCATTTCTGGAAAAAGCCTTTTAGTGGTGAGCATTCGTCTGCGAAAACAACCCTGAGTCTGGTCTCTAATCTGTTGCAGAATCCCTGTCCCGTGAAAGATGCCTCTTTCCTCTCAAAGATCCTCTTCTGGTGGTTCACTGGGTAAGATGGTTCTTCAAAAACCCCTCATTTTTAGGCACAGGCTGAGTCACTTCGGCCTTGTTTACAATAATAAGTCTGTTTTGTTGATGATTCGGTGTGTGAGTCAACTCCTGTGCTAACCTCCTCAGGCTTGTTGTGAAAGGATATCGCTCACCGCTCGAAGCAGAGGATCTGTGGACCCTGAGAGAGGAAGACACGTCCCACAAGATCATCTCTGAGCTGCAACAGAACTGGACAGCTGAATGCGCCAGACTCCAGAAGTAAGATTTGCTCATAACAGAAAACTTGGATTAGTAGAACTCTATTGCACAGTGGACTGCATCACTACAATGACATAAATARCATCATCATTACATAACATAAAATATTATGTATGAAGTCCTCCTATAATCATAGTCGCTGTATATCTGCCAGACGTTGGCAAAAACACCTAAACTTGAGCAGTTACTCAAAGCYACCAAATTACTCAGTTTTAGTAAAAGTATTTTAGACCTTTTTAAATGTTGACCTTTAGACCTTAAATACATCTCTTTTTTATGAAATATGCTGTTTTTATTTTGGCATAATCTTTCTAACAAACTGTGCATCAGTCTGTAGTAGAGGACAACATTTGAATTTGCACGTCATCTTTCTTGTTTAGTCATATAAACTGTTAGCTAACGGTTAGCCTGGTCCTTACCTTCCTACACAGTTTTGCTCAATTCTAGTTTCCCTTCTCTGCTCCRTCAGAYTTCTCCCATAGACTAGGATTTCTCCAGTAAAATGCCAACTGGGCCAATCAGCAAACAGAAGGAGGAGTTGTGAGCAATGTCGATTTTCTGAGAGCAGAGGAAGTGATTGGAGCCAGTCTGTGTTGACAAGGCTTCCAAATGAAATTAAAATTGTCTCACAAAGCCTGCAGAACTCATTTACAGCCACTTTTTTCAGCTCTCTCCTCTCAGTAATAATAATAATAATAATAATAATAATAATAATAATAATAATAATAATAATAATAATAATAATAATAATAATAATAATAATAATAATAATAATAACTTTATTTATAAAGCACTTTCAACAAAGTGCTGAACAGTTTAGAAAAAAAAGGTAAAAATCAATATAAAAGAAGTTGTAAGAGCAAGTAAAACATAGAAAAAAGATAATATACAAATGTAAAATTTAAGACGTAAAAGACAGAGTGTACAAGTGGGTCTTTAGCTTAGCTTTAAAAACTTACACTGAGCTGGCCAGCCTGACGTCTTGAGGAGATCATTCCACAATAAAGGGGCACGAAAGAAAAAAGCACGACCTCCAATAGTTTTACGTCTGACCTTAGGGATTACCAACAGACCAGTGCCCTGAGATYRGAGATGGAATGTAAGGGTGGAGAAGGTCTGAAAGCTAGGGAGGCGCTAGGCCATTTAAGGCCTTATAGGTGAGAAGCAACACTTTGAAATCTGCACTAACAGGGCAGGGCAGCCAGTGGAGAGGTGACAGCACCGGAGTGATATGGTCGTATTTCCTAGTTTTGGTTAGGATACGAGCAGCTGCRTTCTGAACCATCTGCAGGCCTTTAAAACTTCTCTTTGGAAGCTCAGAGAGAAGAGCATTGCAGTAATAAATAAGTGATGACACAAAAGTGTGRATGAGGACCTCTRCATTTTCAAATGAGAGTATGTGTCTGATTTTGCAATATTCCTGAGATGATAAAAAGCAATCTTTGTTACCTCCTTTAGATGAGACTCAAAGGAGAGCGTAGGGTCAMACAGCACACCCAAATTCTTGACCTTTTCCCTGCATATAATGTTATGACCATCAATATTTAAACTAAGATTTTGGAACAGGTGGTGAAGTTTTGAAGGTCCAATAACCATAAAATCAGTCTTATCAGCATTCAGGAGTAAGAAATTAGTTGAYAGTCAATCCCTAAAAGTAAGGTTAGATAGATCGGTGCACTTTCCAAGTGAAAAAGGCGTATACAGTTGCAAATCATCAGCATAGCAATGAAAGGCCACATTAAAGTGATGCAATAGAAGACCAAGTGGCAGAAGGTAGAGAGAGAATAGCAGGGGGCCAAGTATGGATCCTTGTGGGACCCCATAGCCCACAGTATTCATCTCAGAGAGCTCGTTTTTAAAACTATGATCTTCCAGCCAGATATGATCTCAACCATGAGAGTACTTTTCCATTTAATCCAACTGAATGTTCAAGTCTGTCCAACAAAATGCAGTGATCTACTGTGTCAAATGCAGCACTAAGGTCAAGCAACAGTAGTGCTGAGGGACTATCARTGTCGGCATTTGCCAGTAAGTCATTGACCACTTTGGTGAGAGCTGTTTCAATAGGGCATGGCTGTCAGTGYATGCAATTTCTGGTTAGCTTCTTAGCTTAGCTTCCTTCACAGTCAAGCTAATGAAATCAACCCAGTCGTTTTAAACTTCAACARAGTCCATGCCTCCAGCAAATCATTTCTCAATAGCCAAGAGTCCAGACCCTCTGTATGAAGCAAAGCAAAGAACAAGGGGCTGGTTTTTACCAAGCTAATAAACRGTTATTTTAGCTCAGTTTTAATGTGTAATTCATTCTTCTGTTCTCCCTGTCAGCATTAATTAACATCCAGAGACTCAATTAAGTCATATAGTCTCGCTGGTCAAATTGACCCAAGCGGAGCCGGATTTAGCCACGAATGTGAGTGATTGAAATTCAGTAATTCAGTATTAGTAATTAAGACTAAACAATAAGAAACAAAAACGCACTTGAAGACCTATGTGATGTCAATCCAAGAGCCACAAAACTTTTGCAAAGCTTGTTAACACGACTCACTGCTTTGAAAACCCTTTTTTAAAGACTAATCATTACGGTGGCAAATGAATTTTTCCACATGGGTTTGTAAATTCTTTTGTCCACTGGTGATGGAAAAAAMAAGAACAACTTTACTGCTGTCTGTTTTGCACATAAATGTAAAAGCTGCTAGCTAATTTGGATGGATTTCTGACACAGATTCCTTGCCTGTAACATTTTTTCCCTCCCTCCCTGCAGACAGGAGAAAGCCTTAGCGTCGGGTGCGGCGCTGGGGAGCAGGCTGCCAGACCAGGCTCAGCTCCTCAGGAAGCTACAGAAGGAGCAGAGCTCGGGCTTTTTCCTGCTCAGGACKCTGGCGCGCAAGTTTGGTCCGTATTTCCTGACCGGCACCTTGTGCATCATATTCCATGACGCGTTCATGTTCGCCATCCCTCAGGTTTTGAGGTAAAATTCTGCAAGGAATGATTTTAAACTTGATCTGACTYCTTTGCACAATATTCTCTACCTCACTTAATCAGTGGTCACTGAGAGGTAATACATAAAAGTTGGAAAAAGTGGTAAAAGTCACGTTTATGAACATCTGCACAGATGAATAAGTTGATAGGTTGAGTTTTCTTCACACCATTGAACAAAATAAACCCTGAATCTGGCAACGGTGAAAACAGGTTAAGACTGATCCGCCATTTGCTGCCTCTCCATCCCACCAATCAGATTGGAATGTTGTTGTTCATGCAGGGCTCTGAATCAGTAGGAGTGTTAATTACGAGCTGTCAGCGAGAAGACTAGACGAGGCCACAGGCCTGTGCACTCCAGTAGAGAAGGACAGGCAGAGAAAAGGTTAGAGGAGGCTCTAAATGCTGTCGGACCACAATAAGGGAGCCACAGGCCAAGTGTGAGTGCAGCCCCGGCCACAGGCTGAACTCTCTGTTGTGCAACCCAAACTACTCTGAGCAGCCTGGTCAGCCAGAAACCGCAGCTGGACTGAAGGTTAAAGACTCACAGTGAGACCCAAATAATATCAGATGGAAAATAAAGGATGTCGGAGGTAAAATTTTTGASTCTGCTTAGCTTTGGATCACACTTTTCAAGCAAAACTGAGTCATATTACAGTGTAACAACATGCCAAGAAGAAAATCCATGGCTCGTAAATAAGCCTTTGTGTTCTCTGTTACAGTCTTCTCCTGGGCTTCATGAAAAACGCAGACGCTCCGCTGTGGAAGGGCTTCTTCTACGCCACATTAATGTTCCTCCTCTCCTGCCTGCAGTCCCTCTTCAACCATCAGTACATGTACACCTGCTTCACAGTGGGCATGAGGGTGAAGACCGCCGTCATGGGCTTGGTTTACAGGAAGGTGAGTAAATACACCACATGCACTCAGCCTTTGCTTCTTGACGTGATGTAAATTATGTCCTAAAAGACAAAAGCCTGATAAAAAAAAAAACATCTCACATCGAATGAATAACAGCTCTTACCTAAAATGACTGATGTGTGTGCATTTTACAAGGAATAAAATTATATTGTACACCATAAACCGAAAACTGAAATGTCTCTCGCTTTTCTTTTTTCCCCCCTTTTGTTTTTGCTTTCTTTTTGTCAATGCAGTCTTTGGTGATAAACAGCTCTGCCAGGAGAACTTGCACCGTGGGCGAAATAGTAAATCTGGTCTCGGCAGACACTCAGAAGCTCATGGATTTTGTGGTGTACTTCAACGCTGTCTGGCTGGCTCCWATCGAGATTGCGCTTTGTCTCTTCTTCCTCTGGCAGGTGTGTTGAAATGTGATGTTTTGCAAAGCGGCTTCCATTCATGCACAGACGCAATTTAGTTAACAATCACATTTTCTCTCTCTCTCTCTCTCTCTCTCTCTCTCTGTTTCTTGTCAGCATCTGGGCCCGTCAGCGTTGGCAGGAATTGCCACGGTCATTCTCATTTTCCCCCTCAACGGGTTCATCGCAAAGAAAAGGAGCAAGCTGCAGGTAAAAAGCGGGAGCCCCTTCCAGCGGCACAGACATGTCGGGACAAGGGATGCCACAGCTGGTTTAGATAGAGGCTGTGTGGGTGTTTGGCCTGGATGCTGCATTCTCTCTTGTCCTTTTGATGTCTGGCCCTTATAATGTGTTTGAAAAACAATGACAGGAAAGGGTGGGCAGTGGCACAACATCATTTTTCATTTCTCTGGAAAAAAAGGAACAGTTCTGTAAATTTAGGTGCCAGTTTTAATCCATTTTTTTTCCATCTTGATTGCTGTGACCGCATTCTTGGCTCGTTGTTTGCTTGTAAGAAAAAATCACTAAAATGTCACATGAAACAAATTCTTACCGAATTAGACGGGTTTTGTGATGTTCTGGAAAATTATGGCCATAACAATAAATGCAGACAAACCCCGTTCGCAAACACATATTTTCCCTTTGGTGTGGTCATTTCTATTTGACACAGCTTGAGCGTAGGATGATAAAAGAAGAAAACTAAAGCTTTCCCCGTCTGCTCAACAGGAGATTCAAATGAAGTTCATGGACGGGCGCATCAGATTGATGAACGAGATCCTGAACGGAATAAAGATCTTGAAGTTTTATGCCTGGGAGAAGGCTTTCCTGGAGCAGGTTTTGGGCTACAGAGAGAAGGAGCTGAGAGCCCTGAAGAAATCTCAGATCCTTTATTCMATCTCCATCGCATCCTTTAACTCCTCGTCTTTCATGGTAAGAATGCAAAATTGAAAGAGCTGCTAAATCAGTGAAAGARTTCATGATGTGGGGACAAGTTTCACCCTTAAAGCAGCGTTGACGGCAGACGATTGCAACAAAATGATGTTCATATTTTGAGACGTAGCTTTAAAGATGTGAGAAACCAAAATGTTTTGACAGAGCATGAAAACAAGCTGTCAGATTCAGGGACGAGGAAAATCACTTCATTACTGCGGGGGCTTTGCCAGAGTAATTTTGGTTTATCCTCCAGGAGGCACGGCTATCATTTGTTCAAATCTAATTTAAATAAATTCAGAGTTCTCAGGATAGTTTTCTCCAAAACCACACGGAAACTCAAGGCGCGACTCCAACGTAAGTTTGCACTTCAGCTGCAGACAGGAAGCAGGACCTCTGCGAAACGACTGCAGCAGGCAGGGCGTCAAGTTCGAGATTACTGAAACTACAAAAGCATTTTTGGCGGTTTTACTCTCTTTGTGCGATACAGACAGATGAAATTACAGAAACCTTTCATTCTTAAGGGTTTGTTTGTCTAAAGATCAACATTCACACAAGATTCTGCCTGTAATTGTGACATTTTGTGTCTTTTTTTTTCTTTCTCCAAGATTGCCTTTGCCATGTTTGGCGTCTACGTGACCCTGGATGACAGGAACGTCTTGGACGCACAGAAAGTTTTTGTCTCCATGGCGATAATTAACATCTTGAAAACTCCACTCAGCCAGCTGCCGTTCGCCATTAGCACAACGATGCAGGTCGGTGAATTTCCTTTTTGATGTCCACCATGCCTGGAGAAATGTTTTTATTGATGACGTCATCACCGTCTGTTCCAGGCTCTGGTTTCGCTGAGACGCCTCGGAAAATATCTCTGCTCAGAGGAACTGAAGGTGGACAACGTCTCCAAGGCCCTGCTGAGCCCAGGTAGAACCTTTTGTTTATACTTTTAGCGAATCAACAGCCTCCCACGCAGACATATTTAGYAAATTCCCACAACTTTGTCCTCGCACTCCCTGAAATCTCGGGCTGCCGCCATCGATAAAAGCAGCACCCGAGATGTTGTTTATAACTGCGGAGTACCACAGCCTTGTATGGATCATATGCACTGTCACTTCCTGGGTCCCAGGCTGACTGGTAGACGGGGTAATTATAGGATGTTCCCATTTAGTGGTTAAACTTAAATCATAGCATGAATCCAGACATATGAATCATAGAGAAATAAAAACGTAACAACGAACACTGTACTTCTCTGTTCAAGATCTGTCAACACTTCCTGGGACATCTTGTGAAAAAAAAGCAACAGCTCTGTAATTTGCATGATTAGACAAATTTGCTTGTAATTACGCCCAGGCGGCATTCTGATGAGTAACTTCAAGGATAAACTTTGCTTCTTAGTTTGGAAAATGCATCCTTTTTTTAGTTGTCATTACAGGTTTTGATAATTTTTTCTTCCTTTTGTCAGAGAGTGAAGATGTGATGATAGAAAATGGTACTTTCAGCTGGTCTGCAGAAGGTCCTCCGTGTCTCAAAAGGTAGGAATTATAAAACTGGAGTGAAGAGTATGCAATAAAATCAAGGGAGGCTGACAGAAAAGCACGTTTTTCTTTGACAGGATCAACGTGCGAGTGCCACGAGGATCCCTTGTAGCTGTGGTCGGGCACGTGGGCAGTGGAAAGTCCTCTTTGTTGTCCGCCATGCTCGGCGAAACAGAAAAGAGAAGTGGACAGGTCACTGTGAAGGTACAAAGCTAACGTTCCGTGAGCTAGGCATATTTATAGTTTGTGGTTTTAATAAATATTGACGGGTTCTCTTTGTGTTTTTGCAGGGTTCTGTGGCATACGTGCCCCAGCAGGCCTGGATCCAGAACGCCACCGTCCAGGACAATGTACTGTTCGGTCGGGAGAAGATGAAAACGTGGTACCAGCGCGTGCTGGAGGCCTGCGCCCTGCTGCCTGACCTGGACATCTTACCTGCAGGAGATGCAACAGAAATAGGAGAGAAGGTATGAATTGCCAACTCCTTTTTGCATGGTTTTTGCACGTAATGTTTTAGAATTATAGTTTTTTTTTCCTCTATCAGGGACTGAACCTCTCAGGAGGGCAGAAGCAGAGGGTGAGTCTGGCCAGGGCCGTCTACAGAAAGGCTGATGTTTACCTGCTGGATGATCCACTGTCTGCCGTTGATGCACATGTGGGTCAGCACATCTTTGACAAAGTCATTGGACCCAAAGGAGTACTTAGAGACAAGGTAATTCCCTTCAAAAACTAGCAAAGTGCTGTTTGCTCTGATCTTAAAATGGAGACTATCACTTGTTGAGACTTTTGTTTTTTACCTCAGGGTAACATCCGAGTGAACTCACGTCATGCTTTTCCTGACCGGCTTTTGACTTTCTTAACAGACCCGCGTCCTGGTGACCCACGGGATGAGCTTCCTGCCTCAGGCTGACCTCATCCTGGTTCTGGTAGATGGAGAAATCACAGAGAGCGGCTCTTACCAGGAGCTGCTCAGCCGCCACGGCGCCTTTGCTGACTTCATTCACACTTTCGCGAGCACCGAGAGAAAAGAGAGCGCCATTCAGAGAGGTGCAGAGATAATTCATTAATGCGCACTGTAGTGCCTTATAAATCGACACTTAACATGCCCTTTCTATGCAGCTGGTTCCAGGAGGTCCAACGCTCGACTCAGTGTGGTTGATTTCATGCCGTTCTCCAGGGATCTGTCGCAGGAGCAGCTCATTGGGTACGTAAACAGCAAGAGTGCACAAGAATCCTAAAATAACTTTCATGAAGCAGACCGCTGACTCGTCTTGACTATTCAGGGGTGATACCACTAATACCAACCTGCAAAACATGGAGCCCGTGTCTGAAGCTGACCAGGAGCAGGTACCAGAGGACCTGGGGAGGCTGACAGAGGTTGACAAGGCTTGCACTGGACGAGTAAGTCTAAAGAGCTTTTGGCTCTCTGGTAATGACCGTCTATAAATATATATACCTTGGAACTGACTTGTAGGTTTTGTGTTGTACCCCCACAGGTCAGGTTGGAGATGTACAAGAAGTACTTCAAGACCATCGGCTTGGCCATCATCATTCTCATCGTCTTCCTGTACGCCTTCCAGCAGGGCGCCTCTCTGGCCTACAACTACTGGCTCAGCATGTGGGCTGACGATCCTGTGGTCAACGGCACGCAGATTGATACCGATCTGAAGCTGGCTGTTTTTGGAGCGCTGGGATTTGTGCAAGGTCGGTTTTTCTTTTTAGAAATCAGGGAAGGGTTCGGATCATCGCTAACACCAGGTTGATGTCTCCAATCTCTTCAGGCATTGCTATTTTTGGAACGACCGTTGCGATCTCCATCTGCGGCATCATTGCCTCTCGCCAGCTGCACATGGACCTGCTGGTCAACGTCCTCCGGTCTCCCATGTCTTTCTTTGAATCCACGCCCAGCGGCAACCTCCTGAACCGCTTCGCTAAGGAGATTGATGCCATCGACTGCATGGTCCCCGATGGTTTGAAGATGATGCTGAGCTACGTCTTTAAGCTCATGGAAGTCTGCATCATTGTGCTGATAGCGACACCCTTCGCAGCTGTGATCATCCTGCCTCTCGCCTTTCTCTACGCTTTTGTCCAGGTATGGCCCCGACACAAAAAACAGGGCTTAGCAGAATCTGTATTTCATTACTGTGTGTTATTGGAATACTCCAGGGTCCAAAATCAACTCCTCTGATGCTGCATCATATTTCGTTCCCATCCTGCTGACACAGATTTAAAACATTCAGTTTAAATTACGGGAAAGCCTTCAGCGCTCCCTTTTTTTGTTTTGCTGATTTATTAAAGCTGGTGTTTTACTTTTCCACTGTGGGCCGCAGAGCTTCTACGTCGCCACATCCTGTCAGCTGCGCAGGCTGGAAGCTGTGAGCCGCTCGCCCATTTACACCCACTTCAACGAGACAGTCCAGGGTGCCAGCGTGATCCGGGCCTTCGGAGAGCAGTCCCGCTTCATCCTGCAGGCGAACGAGCGGGTCGACTTCAATCAGACCTCCTACTTCCCCCGATTTGTTGCCACCCGGTGAGCCGATGTGGGAGAAATCAAGGGATGATTTCATGGAGCGATTATGTCTTTATGTTGAGTTTCCTGACTTGCTGTTAAAATCATCTGTAGGTGGCTGGCAGTCAATCTGGAGTTTGTTGGTAACATTGTGGTCCTGGCTGCTGCCATTCTTTCTGTAATGGGGAGAAGCACCCTGAGTCCAGGCATTGTTGGTCTGGCGGTGTCCCACTCCCTCCAGGTAAGATGTTCCACACACACAAACTCTAAAATTCAGACAGCTTAATATCACAGGAGCTCAAATTGCCTGTGACATGCCTATCCAAATACAAAAAGTCAAAGAAAATGTCTTCATATTTTGGAAAATTGTCATAAAACATGATTTAACCCATTTTGTCACATAACTGGCATATTTTCTTTTGAATTTGGCTCAGCTAAAGTGAAACAGGAAGTGACATCAAAGRGGAACTCTCTCTGGTCTTTGTTTATTAAAACGATATTTTTTGAACTCTGACTCGTCTTCATCTSTCTCTTATAGGGACTAAAATTATCTAAAGAAACATCAGAGAAATCCCTGCTTTCTGTGTTGTTAGCCATTGTAGCAATGCTATGTTTACATGCAGACATTCCCCTTTGACATCACTTCCTGCTGTTTCACATACAAATATCTCGACAACTGTTCATCTCAGTGGTGTGAAATTGCTTTTGCRATWTGTTATCCATGTTKTCTTTCCAAAAGTGCATTCAYATTTATCACAAAAATTTGATGTCACAGGCACTTTAAATCTTAATTTCATCAAGAACAGCTAAATTAAAACATCATTGCTCCTGCAGGTGACTGGAATCTTGAGCTGGATTGTGCGATCCTGGACCGACGTGGAAAATAACATCGTTTCGGTGGAGAGGGTTAACGAGTACGCTGACACTCCCAAAGAGGTGGGCCCCTCCCCTTCACACATACACACCACCAAACAGAGGCTCTTTTCTTTCTCTTTACTCACCGTTTGTTAATGCCTCACACAGGCCAGCTGGAGCACAGAGGGCAGCTCTTTGCCCCTGGCTTGGCCCCAGAGTGGCACCATCCAGTTCCAGGACTACGGGCTGCAGTACCGTAAAGGCCTTGAGCTCGCCCTGAAAGACGTCACGCTGCAGATCCACGAAAGAGAGAAGGTGATTCATCTTGTGTGGCCTTAGCAGAAGTTACTACAACTCCGAAAAACTGAAAGTGCTGAAAAGTCTCATAAAATGAAAAATCTTTAACTCAGGTTGGGATAGTGGGAAGAACGGGAGCTGGAAAGTCCTCACTGGCACTGGGAATCTTCAGGATCCTGGAGGCAGCAAAGGGGAAGATCTTTGTAGACGGAGTGGATATTGCTGAGATCGGGCTTCATGACCTGAGGTCACGCATCACCATCATCCCTCAGGTGCAGTAGCAGTACCAGAACCTGAGCTCTGGTTTTTGTTTTGTATTTATGATCTCATACAGAGGTGTCAAACTCATTTTCACTGAGGGCACATGAGTTATATGGTGAACCTCAAAAGGCCAGCTGTAATTAACTTTAATGTTGTTAAAACTAAAATTTTACGTTGCTTGTCACGCTGTTACGGCTGAGCACCGCTAACAAACAATAACTGAGCTCTAAGTGGTATTTCCTGCATAGAAACAGCAGTTTTCATGTCCTCTTATAAACACTGAAAATTATTAYGTGTACGACTGACTAAAKGTGAAATAAATAATACAGAAAAGGACAGTTTAGATTTATACTTTGTGAGTGGGAAAGTCCCACTTCCCAGTACAATTGGGCTGCAGCAAAAGTAGCAGCGTAAATGCAGTGAAATGGAAATTTTATACAGCTACTTTTGAACTCTGTACAGCGCCACCTTGTGGTGTTGTCGCTTTGCAAGTAAAATGATCAACATGCATTATRGGAGCTGTAGTTTAAGGTCGATACTGCCTTTAAAGCAGCTTATTTTAAGCAGAGGTCTATAAAGTACTTGAAAAAATAACTGAGTAAAAGTAAAATTACATTAACAGAAAATTATCTTGTAAGTTTCACTTACGAGGAAAATGCTTAAGTAAAAGTCATAAAACTGTTCTCAAAAATTGGGAGAGTAAAAGTAAAAGTACTTTAACACACTCTCTACGAAATAAACTGTTGAATTTACTTACAATATTTGTGGGCAAAAACGGTGCAGTTTCTGCCTTTAAACATTTCCAGAAGCTACCAGGGGCTTTTATTTTGAAGACTAGGGTGCCAGACAACTTCCTCCAGTTCTTACCTTTAGTTTGGCACCCTTAAAAAATGTCAAAAGACTTTTAAGGAAGTTCAGGGGCGACTGTTAAGTGGTTAACCAAACTGATTCCACTAAACCAAGTTGAGAAAATATGTATATTCCCTCATATTTTCTCTGCTACTTTACTGAAACCAGCTGTCATGTCTTGGTTGAGTAAATTCAACCCTTTATTTTTTTAGAGCATAAACAACTCCTTTCATTGTGAGTTCAGCCAGATTTAATTTTATAATGACTGGGTGTTAAAATTTAAAGTAAAGAAGTAAAGTTTCAATTTATGTTTTAAATGTAACAAAATAAAAGTAAAAGTAATGATTTAAAAAGAATACTTGGTAAAATTACAAATCCTCAAAACCGTTATTTAAGTACTGTAACAAAGTAAATGTACTTAGTTRCTATGAACCTCTGGTTTTAAAACAATAATACATACAATAATGTAGTTTAAGGTCAATGATCTTTAAAGTAGYTTATTTTAAGACATTTAAACATATTTGAAGCCATCGCAGGCAACATAAAATGCTGTGCSGGGCCACATTTCACCCAAGGGCCTTGAGTTTGACACATGTGGTTTAGTATATTCAAAATAAAATGAGACATTCACAGTTATATTTCTGTTACAGATCATATTTGATGACTAGATTTTTCTGATCCTCTCCAACAGGACCCTGTTCTGTTCTCAGGCTCCCTGAGGATGAACCTTGACCCCTTCGACACCTACACAGATGAAGATATTTGGAGTTCTCTGGAGCTCGCTCACCTCAAAACCTTTGTGTCCAATCTGCCCGACAAACTCAACTATGAATGCTCAGAGGGAGGAGAAAACCTCAGGTACACACCCCTGCAGCGGTATGACACGTTGCAGCGCAGATGGACGCCTTTGTTTTGAAYGCTCAGTCACACTAAAAACCGCCGTGAAGAGATCTAGTGTGTGATTGTCTCCCTCTCTTCCTCCACCTTGTCTGTGTAGTTTGGGTCAGCGCCAACTGGTCTGCCTGGCCCGGGCCTTGCTGAGGAAAACCAAGATCCTGGTTTTGGACGAAGCGACGGCCGCCGTGGACCTGGAGACGGACACTCTGATTCAGTCAACGATCCGCACTCAGTTTGAGGACTGCACCGTCCTGACCATCGCCCATCGCCTCAACACCATCATGGACTACACCAGGTACAGAACCTCAGGAGTTCAGGGGTTATTAAGCACTCATCAACATGTCACAATGAAACAATTAGATCAGGGGTGTCCAAACGGGCCAAACTCATAAAGTCAGAAGGACTTAAGGGCCAAAATATATTTTCCTTAACCTGCTCAACAGTAAACTAAGCACTGAATACTTTAATTAAACAAATAAATTAGTCAGATTAATTGCTGGAGATGGATGTGTAAATTAATTAAACTTTAATAGTGGTGTTCAGGTTTCCCTTATTGAAAGAAATTTTGCAATTTCTTAAGTATGTTTTGAGGGGGAAAACAACCCAATTTAGTCAATTCTGATCAATAAAATCAGGATTTAGGTCACTCCTTCATTGAAAATGCTTGCTGTATTCAGATACATTTAATAAATAATTAAAAGCAGATTGGAGTGCAGAAAAATCAGCTTTTCAGTAGAGGTCACTAGATAGATGTGAAAAAARCTAAGAGCCTGGTTATTTAAAAACAAATAATTGGCGTTGTTGCCAATAATTTTTATTGAAATAAGATTTTACTTTGTCTGTGATAAATTTGCCCTGATTAAAAATAGAAAGTCTCCATCTACATCAAACACCTGTGCCAGGTAAAATTCTTGAACTGAAGTCGAGGGCCACACAAAATCAGTTCAGRGGCCACAAATGGCCCCCGAGCCACACTTTAGACACCCTTGAATTAGGTAATTGGTCGCTTTTACCACAGAGATTATCYTCAAGATAAATATAAACTAGACAATAGTCTGAAGCAACATCATCTTACATATAATTTCAAAATGTGAATAAATTCTTATCTTAAGGGTAGTTATAGCAAACTATGACATCATTCATAAAAGTTGACCTGAACTTTATTAAGTGGTGTAGTTTGGAAGAATTTGATTAATTCATTTTTTCAGATATATTAATGTACAATTCGGAAATGCAAGTACGCACTTAATATAACAAAGATCTGGTGTCTAAATCAATGTTTAAATCCATGTCTGTGCTCTTTATTCTGCAGAGTCATCGTCATGGACAGAGGTCACATCTGTGAGATGGACTCTCCAGCCAACCTCATCTCACAACGGGGACAGTTTTACCGAATGTGCCTGGAAGCCGGGTTGGTCTAGCATTTTCTCAGAGAACTGAGGACCTGCTGTACAGACGTGGCACCTTTTTTTATGTGGCTCTTCGAAGGGGCCGTTTCAAGCTTTGTGGCATCTCAAAACTCTCTCGGCGAGGGCATTGTTGATGAATTTCAAGAGCAGCTGCTGACACATCTCTTCAGTATTTTTTTTTAAAACAAAGACACCTTGTTCTAATTCAGGAAAAGACATGATGAACATTCAAAACAAAAGCTTGTTTTTGAGTCTTAAAGCTACAAACAGAGCAGTGAAGTTAGTTTTGTCTCAAAAAGCCAAAGACTGGATTGAAAGAGTAAAACGGATGTTAGAGTTTTGTTCTCTTTAAGGATGATTGTTTTATTGGTTTTGTATTTGTTTGTGTTTATAAAGCACATYTCTTTTATTGATGATGTCTCAGGCTTAGACGTGTATGTTTACTCACTTTATTAGCCTTGTATACCAAAGAAGAGGCACTTTTGTACTTGTCAACTGAAAAAAAATCTATGGTTTTGGTTCTCGTCTCAGGAACTGGGACAGAAAATATTGTGACACACTAACCTTCACAAGGTTCATGCTGGCAAATGCAGGGAAAGGAGGTTTAAATAGCCTTCAGAGTTTAAGCTTTAGGTCCATTTTTATACATCAGGGAGCTGGAGGAAAACATAGAAGTAAGCCAAGACATTCGCAAACGTCCAACTATGTTGTGGCTGTTGTTTATTTCTGTCAAAGTAAACACATAAAAAGTCAATAGAGACCTTGTTGGTCAAATTTAACCTGACACCGGTAGTGAAAACCACCATGAATGAAGAGAATGCCTCTTAAAAACAATGGTGATAAATCTCGACGTGTTGTCTGTGTGCCTTCACCACACAAACTCAGGCCATACCATATGCAGAAAAAAAAAGAAAAAAATCAGTATTTTTCTTATGGTGCTGACTTGACAGACTGTAAATAGTCCACGCAAAGTTTTAGACTTGATTCAAAGAAAGAACCCTGTGACCCTTTCAGAGAAGAGAAGCGTTTACTGTTTTTGTCTTACTGGTTTAGACAATATAATGTAAGAAAAAACCCAAGTGTTTATTTATGTCATGCTGTATGACAAAATGTATTAAGTGTCCTTAAATTTTTGAGGATAATCTTTTATTTATACTTTTTATAACAAGCTTGATTATTTTCACTGACCTTTTATTGTTAATGTACTGTCTTGTTTGATGCATCTTGCTGGATAATAAAATTTATTTGAATCTGTGGTTATTTTGGACTTCACATTTATAAATGACTGTTTTTATGACGGGGATTTTTTTCATGCATATGATTTATAGCTGCACATTTGAATTGCTACATTACTTCTGGATTTCAACAAAGTTAACATTTTTTATTTGTTGAGTCCTTTGACAAAATAATGTAGTGGCCCAGGAGACCTCTTATTTTATTCCAAAAATATAATYTTGAAGTACATAAGCACAAAAAATACATTAGGAACAAAAATGAGACAAAATTTGTAAACTATGAGATGCAATGGAAATAAAGTGCATGCTAAATCAATCAAGTGTGACATAAATTGACTATAAACAGCTACAAAGTGACTACTGTGGAWCTATATATTCAAAAGGCAAAGAAAAACAAATAAAAAAGGACTAAATGCAGCAAAAAAAAATCTTTAAAAACATGGAAATGCTATGAAAAGTCACCAGTTCTAGACAAAACAATAATAAAAAAGATAATCAATACACATCATACTACCATGGCTGTAGTACTATAAATAAAAAAATATTTTAGAGGAGAAATATCCAAAATAAAAATAAAATAAAATAAAATCTTAAAAGAAATTTAACGTTATGAACCACTTTGTTGTAGTTTCATAGCCCAGCCACTAGAGGGAGGTAGTCTACAAGGCTGACYGGTGTTTGTTTGTTTACATTTTTTGCAATGGCGACTATCTCTGAGCTGAAAACTGGTAAGAACCCCCCTTACATTATCTTTTCTATTGCGTACCTGCAATCTAAACTCATGACTCACATCCAGTTACAGTATATCCCGTKACAAATGTGTAAAAATCACAAGTACGTGTTAGCTAGCAACTACTTGACATCCTCCATACCAATCCTCATAAAGACATTTGACAATACAGATAAATAAGTGTCAATAGTTTTTAGAAAATTACAGTTACTAAATAATCCGCGATTTCTTCGATTGTTAAAAGCCACGTATATTCGGTGTAGCTGAATATTTGATGTACTTTAAGCARTTCTAGTTAACTTGATTTTATTCCTGCTCTCTAATGCCAGGTAGCRGCTAGCTAGGTAGCTAGCTAAGTTGGAATGTGGGGAGGCTACCATTAAATATCTCATAAATCAGAAATAACAAGCTATTAAAATCTTTGACGATTTGATCCATGCAYTTTAGTTATCTGAAATTAGAAACATGAGCTATATTCGACAATTATTATTTTTTAAATATGAAAGTGAATGAAAATTTCAAGAAAACGTCATGAAGTTTGGTGCGCTAATTAGCTGAATTTTCTGACCTACAGTCAGAGGCTTTTCACTTTTGTCTGGCCGAGTAATGTTGCTGTTTAATTCAGATACRTTTCGGAACATTTTCTTCCAGCTGTGAGCAACACGCTGGAGTCTCGCGGAGTGATGGGTCAGCTGAGGGCTCGTATCCGGGCGGAAGTGTTCAGCGCACTGAATGACCAGCGTGAACCTCGGCCGCCGCTCTCCCACGAAAACCTGCTGATAAACGAACTCATCCGGGAGTACCTGGAGTTTAACAWGTACAGGTACACGGCGTCGGTACTCTCAGCAGGTGGGCTAACAGATAAAAGTTACCATTTTATATAATAAGAGGATTAGGGCCACAGAGCAAAAACTAATATTTTTGTCCAGAGTTYTGATTATTTCTTAGAACTCTGAGATTAAAGTTAGATTTATAGAATTAATTATCTCAGAATTCTGACTTTTTTTCTGACTTCATTCTCAGAATTGTGAGATTAAAGACATAATTCTGACTTTTTTTTCTCAGAATTAGGAACTGAAATGCTGAAAAAGGGCCCTTATCAGGTTTATTGTGTCAATATTTCTGATCCTCGGGTGTATTTAAAGACCCATCATTCTCTAAATGAATGCATATCACCAGCTGCCTTTCATGCCAGACTTTTAAACCAAATCATGTTATGCTGAGGATGAGGAGTTGTAGTTGTTTCCCTCAGACCTTATGGCAGTCTGCAGGATGAGTTACCAGCTGCTTCCATGTTCCATGTTTGTTTCCTCAGAATCGGGCCAACCCGAGGTTGCTTTGGACAGAGAGTTTATGGCCAGTGAGCTGAAGGTTTCAGAGGATGCAAGTTCCAAATCTGTGTAAGTTTCAAGTCAAACACAGTGTTAGATGATTTACAGTATATTCTCTGTGTTTCAGAGTTAAAGCTGGTTTCGATCTTTCTTTACGTTACAACAGACAACATGTTTTTAATAATAAGAGCCTTTTGCAGACACTAAAGTTGTCTGAGTATTATGTCACAGTTTCATTTCTTTTGACTTACCTCTACAGACCACTTGAGAAAACTGAAAAACACACAATTTAAATAAATAATTACTAAGATCCTCTTCGGTCAGCTCAGTTTCTACCTGTTTATCAACACTGAAAATAAAAAATAAATGATAAAAATTAACTGAAGTTCTTTTCGTGTGCTCTGCAGACCTCTTCTGTATGGACTAGTGTCTCATTTTCTGAACAGCGGTGAAAACCGAGGCAAGGTTTTCCTGCGGGGTCCCTCTGCAGGAAACACAGCTCCTGGACACGAAGCGTAAAATGATAACCTCTGATGCTCAGGAACTGAAACCTTCACCCCTCTAGATGAGATGAACCTAAACAGAAACTCCCAGAACTCAACCTAAATCCTCTGAACTTTAAGAGCCAGTTGGTTTATTTGAACAGTAAATGTTCCTTCATCTGCCTCCAGCCTGCATTGATTTTTCTGTTWTGAATGTTTGACGTTGTATACATTTTATAACTTTGATAATAAAATGCTTTTATTTATTAACCCCTGACTGAGTGAAGATGGTGTTTTTATTTTTGCACCATGTGGTGGCAACGTTGCCACAAAAAGGCCACATCTGGGGCTGCAGGGCCTTTTTTTAATTAATGTTTYATCAGATTTGTTCCAGATTTTGAGTCATTTTGTCAGATTTAATCGCAGRAAATATGTGCAAAATACAACAAGTCTTTGAAGTTATTATCATTTTGTTGTTTTACACAATAAAGCTGGAATAAAATTATAATAGATGGTCCACAGAGAAGGATAAACTAAATAAACAAACAAAAACCTTTATTCCTAAAAAAGGATTTTTATTCAAATCATTACTGCACTTAAAATGATAAAATCTACAAGACACTCTGAGACTATAATTGGGACTTTCAGTCTTTTAACATTTTTGAAATGTTTTTTATATAAGATGTATTCYTATCTCATCAACTTACAGCTCGTAGATTCAGTAGCTAAGTTTTCACAAACCCAGCAGGTCATTTTTCAAGTACTTTCAGCTTTGATCAGTTTTTTCTCCTCCATCTTAAAACGGGTCTTTAGATTGGCTTTGACTTTTCCTCTTGTTTATAATTTTATCTTTACTGCATTTTGTACCATGAAGTGTAATAAACACTTATTAAACATCAGCTTATGGTTACTGATTTGCACAGGTTCATCGTAAGTAAGTACATTTACTTTGTTACAGTACGTACATTAGTATAGAAGTATACTTAAACTTTTAGTATATTTTGAGTACAAGCCAAGTATATCTCAGATRAGTACATAAAAAGTAAAGTGGAAGTATACTCTTATTTTTTAGTTTAAAATTAGGATAACTATTAATTAAATATAATTAAATACTTATTAATTAAATACATATTTTCATTAAAAGAAAATGTATATTTTGTTTAATTTACTCAACTTAGTTTAGTGGAACCAGTTTGGTTCAGTAAACAGTTTATTTCTTAGAGAATGTGTAAAAGTATTTTTACTTTTACTTGGTTRTTTTTTAGACCTCTGCTGATATGTTTGCTGATCAATGAGTCACAACAAAATATGACTTTTTTAAATATTTCTCCTTTTTCCAGAATATTTGTGTGAATAAATGACAGCTGTATAAATAAGATTGACTGCAGCTGTTTATTCGCCTGCAGCAGGTTAAAGATGATGTTTGTGCCTGGGCTCAGATTAGAATGTGATTGCATTCCAGGAGGGTCAAATATAACCGTAAACATATTATTGCTCCAATGAGACAACCATCTTTGGACATGAGGGAGGGGGAGGACAAAAACATGGTGAAACACACTGAAGGGAAATGATTTCTTCATTGTGGTGCCTTTTTATCCTGCCGTCCACGTGTGTTTAATCATGGCTGATTAAAGCTGAATTTGGAAAGAAAAAGGTTTTGATGCAGTATAAATAAATTAAAGGGTTTCWTGCCAGAGTTTTAGACTAATCCTGTGTTGAGAAAAGATGGAGGTGCTTTTGGTCAAAGCATGAAAATAACATGAGTTTGAATGACTCTCAGCTACCACACCAACTGAATGACTCATAGCCTTTTCTGTGCTTTAAAGAAAAGGTCTTCTGTTCCTCATGACCCACTGTCCTGCATGTTAGATGTGTTCCTGCTTTAACACACCTGCCTGAAACGAATAGGTGACAGGCTTCTGCTAAACACGAGGACATTCTGAGCAGGTAATTGAATGTCAAAGCAGTGAAACCATGCAGGACTGTGGATCATGAGGAACACTCCTTAGCCGAAGCAAAAGAAATGTTTGTTTTTCRGAAAAGCAACTTTAAATTTCTCATTTTTTTTCCCTCCGTGAATGTATCATCATGTATCATATTTGRACGGATACTCTCTGATTACATCATTATGCTGGATTACTGTGCATCTTTTTGGAGATTATCTGATGTGGAATTCTGCACAAAGTCTTTCCTTGATTTTAACTTCACATACCGAAGGCTGCTTTGTTTGCCCGCCACTGCTCTTACATGTAAATAAAAAGAGTTATCCCCTCAGAGGAGACTTTGTTTGAATAATGCGGTTGCTGTTGGACCATATTTAGTCACCAGGGTCTGGCGTTTGTTGCTTGCATTAAAC